TCATAAAGTGTAAAATATCTCTATTGCCTTGCTCAAAATTCTTTTCTCAAAACTGATTGAATGTAAATTGTATTTTCGAATTCTGTGATGGTGTGTTTTTTATTTTTCATCAAAACTTAATTAAATAGAAAAATAGTATCAGAAAATGGTCGTTGGACATTAATATTTTTGTGAATAAAAATCAGGATATATTCAAAAATATTTATTCTTCAAAACATATATATTTTTCAAATTTGAATTGTCATAATTGATTATGTTAGCGAGTATAATCAATTATGACAGAGAAAATTATTTTTCCATTTCTAATGCATCATAATTGATTATGACAGTGAAAATATCATGTTATGAATTTTATCACACTTGTACTTAGGAGACTTATGCATAATATTACTTCATCAACTTGTACCTCCATATCCAGTATTCTAAGACTCTATCTAGTCTTCAAGAAATATCTTGGGTTTGCTTGAATCATCATCTTTATAAAAAATATATCTTTGGCATGTAGGGAAATGTTTCACATTTTCACCAATGTCTTAAATTCAGCTTGTCCTTAAGTTCATCTTAAATGGTGTTGACTTGAATGTAGTTAACTTAAATCATCATCAAAATCATCTCTTGGGAATGTAGGGACACTTCCATTAATCTCCCCCTCATTGCTTTCAAATATTAGTTTTTTTTTATTGCTATTTCAAAAGTAAGAATTTTCTCAATTTCCCCAAATTCCTTAATTGAAAAGAATTATCAAAAGTATGCTAGATATATATGATATTTTTAATCATCATTGTTAACTAAAATAATATCATTACATCCATGGAAAGAGTTGTGATAATTACGAGAAGACGTATAAATAATAAAAGGACATGCATAGATTGAACATATCCAACAATAATAAAAAACTATAAGATCATATATAATTTTTTAAAGTTTACATACTTATCCTAATAAAATAGAAATTACATATACATTTTTTTCATTTGATTCTCCATGAAAAATGTGTGTGTTGTTGGTGTCTAATTGTTGAAATTACAAA